GTTGAAGTATTGGGTGTTATTAAACAGACGTTTGCCTTCAGTTAGAAGTGGTGCAATTCATGAGGGCATGGCATGCCATTGGCTCAATTTAGTCTCTGTTGGTACAAAAACAGAACGGAAGGAGGGTCACTGGACTCAAAATGTTAACTCTGCTTTCTCTCCACAGATGCTGCCAAACCTGCTGAGTTTCTTCAGCAATTTCTGTCTTTGTCTCAGATTTCCAGCATCTGCAGTTATTTATTTTAGTGTCGTTACTCGTTAAACTGTAGTAATTAATGACTCAGATTCCATTGTGCTCACAAGCCACCTACAATTGCATTTGATTAGAATATTAGTGATCTACTAACAACACCTTTCATAAGTGTCAGTCTTGACTGGGTGGTAGCACACTCATCAATAGATCAGTAAATTGCAGGTTCAAATACCTTTCCAGGGACTTGACCACACAATCTAGATAGAGTCTTCAGCGAAGTACTGAGAGAGTGCAGTGTTGTTAGAGATGTTTGTTGTCTTTTGCATATAATGTTACATCAAAGCCTGCCTTTGCTCTGAGATGAATGTGAATGTAAAAAATTCCACTTTATGAAGAAGAGTAATAGAGGTATCCCTAACATCCTTCCCTAAATTTAGCTCTCAGCTAAAAAGAAGATAATTTATCTCATTGCTGTTTGTGGGAGCTTGCTCTGTGTGAATTGGGCTTTAATACTCACCTGCATTATGTTTCTCCAGAAATACTTCCTTGTATCTGAAGCACTTGGGATGTTGTGAAAAATATTTCTTAAAATGTACATACATGTTTCACAAGACTTCAAAATTAAAGTGTGAATTCTGCAAAAAATGTCATGGGGAAAGAAAGCTACTCCAGGATATGTGGTGAAGGTATTCCAAAGGTGCTATTGGTTAGAAAGTTTCAGGAAACTGATTCAATGGTTAGGAAGGAGCACGGATATATTTTCAAGTATTGATGTTATATTTCACAGAGGGGAACTTGGAGATGTTAGTATTTCTCAGTGTCTGCAAATCTAATCCTTTCTAGTAGTAGAAACTGTAAGATTGGGAGGGAATAACACCATCCTAAAATCAATTGTTTGTTTGTTATGTAATTGTCAGACTATGTCTTTTTCTTATGAGAAATGCCTTAGAATATTTATTGATATTTAAGCTTTAACAAAATGCAAGCTGCTGGTTTTGCAAGTGCATGACAGACATTGCAGGTTACTGTATTTGATGCATATAAAGTCTCATGGAAGGATCATTCATTTTATAGTTTTTTTAATGTGAGAATCTGTTTTTAAATGCCAGAAAGCAATAAACAGTACACATTAAATAGTTACACTAAACATAAGATTATTATGCTTCAATATAATGGAATTTATCATTGCTTCATCAAACAATTTCTTCTTAATCAGCTGGTATCTCATTGCTCAAAACTTTCTTTTGTGTAGTCATGATGTAGACATCACAGAAAAGTTCAGTGGTGTGATAGTAGCAGTTATGAAAAATGGAAATTCAAACTGGAACGTCATCGGAATTGTAAATAGTGTGAAATTATGTGTATAATAAAGCTGGAAATTTAAAATGAAGAATGTATCATTGGCACATGTTCATGCTACAGCACACTGTTAGGGTTTTAATTGCTATAATCTACTTAAATCAACGTTTACAATATGTGTATTATTTGGAGTCCTCCAGATACCTTTCCCTATCCTTTCTCAGCTATTATTTATTTTCTGTATTCTGACCATGTTGTGTCCCAATTTCCCTTTGAGGGTCATTGCTTGATTCAATTGCGGTAGTTATGTCCTAACTGTCATGAATCAACCACACGTGTCCCCTATTACAGTTTATGCTAACAAAATAAAATATGATTGAGTTGAACAACCTCCATGAACTTTATGGATATGTGTTACTTTTGACACCCTCGAGTGATTTTAGATTGTAATCTCATCTCAAATTTCAGCTGATGCTTATAAATCATGAAGGCTTATGACATCATTTGAATCCAATGAGACTACTGCTTTGCAATCACTCCAAGTATCCAGTCCATATCAATTTAATGCCAGAGGACTTAAAAAAATGAATTTGTCTGATGGGGATTTGAGGGAATACTAAATTTATCAAGAAGCACACAGTCTTGCCAACATATTTCAAGCAGTGGAAAACAAAAGAAAGCATCAGCTTCTAAATAAAAATGTAAGATACTTAGGGTGGTGTTACTTGTTGAAAAATGCACAAGCTATTGGAAGTCATTGTAAGCTTTTTAAATGAAGTATGAACAGTTCAATAATATTGTGTGATACATTTTAAAATGTATTATGCCTTTCAAAAACACCAACTGCATTACTTTTCATATGTGGGGGCAATTGTATTCCTATTTGGTAAATGACTTTGAGTCTGCCAGCATTCTGATGAGTTTTAATGTTACCAAATCCTATGATATTACAACAATTAATTTGACTTGCAATTTTAATGTTGTTTTGCTTTACATTTCAGAGAACTGTTTTCAATACATAAAGTACAGAATATATATCACAGCCAGCGAAATGAGACTAATTGAATAACCATAAGTTATGATCACAGTATGTTAAAAAATTAGTATACAATCCTTATAAGTTATATTTCAAGGACTTTTTCACTCATAAAATTGATTTAAATCCATTTATTCTGTGTCAAACAAAAAATTTGAAGCTGTTTTGTGATGTTACTGTGATGTTATTATAATTCTTACAGTGAATCACAGTTTCCTATGTGTTTATTTAAAAAAGTGCTTGAAAAGGATGAAGACAAAGCAATTGTTCTACCATTTGAAAAAGACGACTGTTTGAAGAGTGAATCAGCAACTGTTAAGTCAGAAATTAGAATCGGAGAGTGTGTATTTGCTTCATTCGCGACTGTAATTCACGGCAGTGAGAGAAACAGGAATGTTTCAGGTCAATAATCTTTCATCAGAACTGATATTTCTCTCTCCACAGATCTTGCCTGAACTGTTGAGCATTTTCCATTTTTATTTCATGTTTCCAGCATCCAGTACTTTTCCTTTGTTTTGCAAGAATCTATATTATGTGTTCTCAGTGACTTAATGCTATTTGACATGAACCAGTTTTATAGATGTTTTAGCAGTCTAATGCCAATATCATCTGAATCTCTTAATAAAATTATTTCCTATTAATTTTTCTATAAGTAACCAATCTGTTTCCAATTTGGTTACTTTTGTAATGCTTAAGTCTCAGTTATAGAAGCACAAGTCTGTTACCTAAATTTTAAACACAATCCAACTATGTCTAGAACAATTTTAATACAATATTACAAAGGGGCCCACCTCCAAACATTAGTTTCATTATAATTTACTCTTCAGCTGACTGTTGGTCATAGAATCCCTGCTGGTCTCCACATAATCACCAATTTCAAATTTCGAAAGTTTTTCTGGCCCTTCTAACCAGCAGCAACCACATAATGGCTCCTGCTGTACACCCTGAAAATGCAGGAACTACTGAGTCACAAAATCAGATGCTTTGTGCCCTGAGCTCTTGGGGAACCTGTGAAGTGCTGCACATGTATGTAGTGCTGTGCAGTGACCTTCTATCTCGCTGCACGTGTTTGTTGGCCATTACATCTTGAACCACTTCAATCAACCTGTTTGACACCTATTTAGTTCACAACCTGCAGACTTAACAAGGCATTTGCACTGATGGAAAGAACAAATTTTCATGTATACAGTTTCATCCACAATTTTAGGTTGTCACAAAGTGTTTGACTGCCAATAGAAGACTTCAGGTGTAGACACTATTAGAAAATATGAAACACCACAATTAATTCACACTTGGCAAGATCCCACAAACAGGAATAAAATATTGAGCCAGATAATCTCTTCCAATGATTGACCAGAACACAATAGAGAACAAGTAAGAATAAACTGTCATACAGGACAGTAGTGAAACACCTGGCAATAGCGATCAGATTCGTTCCCATGGGAGAAACAAGCAGAAAAACTAGCTTAAATTTTTTTAAAAAAGGTTATCTGTGAAATCTCTCAAGATTTAATTTTTTGAACGTCACTATTTCATTTCAGGATTATTAACTGCAGCTTATTCAAGACCTTTTTTGAATTGCTTAGTTAGGAAAATACAGCATTTGCTTTTCAACATTACAAAAACACCTTCTTTACAGAATGATTTAGATGTTCTCAACCTCGTAACGTGCAATATTTTTGTGTCTTGATTTTTAAGCCATAATAGACCTTTAAAGAAATCCACGAATGTATGTTCAAATCATGACAAATATTGTGTATCTTCGTAATATGTTTTGCGCTGCCTTGTCTCGCTGCACAGACAGCACATAATGAGCATGGATGTAACAGTTCGAGCGTTACTATAATTATTAAGGAGTAGAGTTGTCCTTTACTGATTGGATGCTATGTCAGGTAACAGGTAGTAGCGTGGCAGTTTTTATTTCAGCTTCCAGCAGCAGACAGCCGCTTTGCGGGCGGTACCAAACAGTGCCAGCCCCAGGAGCCAGCTGGGGCATCGAAAGATTAAGTGCGAGCGGCAAAGTGGGCGCGGAGGGGGTGGGGTGGGGGGGTTTGAGCGGCTCCACTGCCCACACCCACAAGCCTAGTCCAGAGCCGGTGAGTGAAGGGTCGGGACCAACCCCCCCCCGCCAGGGGGCTTTTACCAGCAGCTCGCGGTCGCAGAGACTGGGGAAAGGGTGAGGGGTGCACGCGCGCGCGTGGAGGATGGAGATCCCGTGCACCCGCACAGGAGGAAGGGAATGCGCTGTGTGTCTGTGTGTGTGTGTGTGCGCGCGCGCGGGTCCCGGTGCTCACGCCTTTGGACATGAGTGTGCCGTAGGCTTGGGGCCGTGCGCCAGGGGGAGAGAGCGCGCGACGTTCGCGGGCACGGTGCGCGTGCATGGGAAGTGGGGGCGTGGGCCGTGCACGCGCCTCTGGGGTGTTTTCCAGCTTTTTCTGAAAAAAAAACCCGAGCCTCCCGGAGTGTGTCAGTCTGTGTGAGTGGGAGTGTGTCTGACACACAGTCTCAGCTGCTGGCGGCTCTCCATCACACTCACATTGCACATCAACAGAGCTCAGCTCCTGCCCAGGGAAACTCCTGTCCATCACTGCAGCAAGCAGCAGCACGATTAGCACCAGCCCCACAGCCACAACTCACATTCCAGTTGCGGTGGGTTTGGGGGGGCGGGGTGGGGGAAATCACTGCCGTTCCCAAAACTGGCAAAACAAAAAAAAAAACCCACCCCTGGAAAGCAACAGGAGAGGCGAAATGCACCAGAATGCCACTGACTGAATGCTTTGTCAATCTCTCACAGACCGGTTCCTTGCTGCGGAATCCCTGGAAATAAGCAAAGGAAGAAGAACAACATCAAAAAAGAAAGTTTGGTTTGTGTTTGGGGGTCTCCCCTCATCGCCCTATCTTCAAGGCAGCATGAAATCTGCAGAGGAAGGTAAACTCATTTTCCTACTGAACTTATCGGTTTGAGGACTTACTTTTCTTTAAGACTGTGACATGAGTTTCCCTTTCATTTGGTGACGTGAAATCGAGAGCTGGGGATTCACAAGGGTGGGTTGTTACATTTATGCGAGTGACTAATATTAAGGAAAACGTTTGAGTTTGGAGGGAGAGGGTGAGATGTGCAAATTTTAATATAAATTTGCAAGGTTAACAATTAAAATGTTGGGGTGGGGTAGGGGGGCGTGGATGTTGATAGGCGGTAAGGGTGTTTCCCCAGTCTTTCTCGCTGCTACAGTGCAGAAGTACGGTTATCTGCTGAGGTGTCCTGTCTGCACACAGAAGGGTCCTTTCTGTGCGCTCCTATTCATTGTCAGTAATGACCGATAGGTATTGATGTGTCAAATTAAAGGCGTTTTTCAGTCGGCTGAATATTGTTCTGTATTCTTGTCCATCATTTTCATTGGTTTGCCCAGCTACTTAATGCAACCGACACCCACCGAGCAGTCAGAGGGGAGACTATTTTGCTGTCTCTTGGCAGAAGTGGTCAGGGGGAGGAAGGGAAGAGAAAAACTATCTGAATGGTCTAATTCAAAAGTCTGGGGAGCGGCAGGCTCTGCCAAAGTACACATTCTAATTCAAACCCACTTGGCATTCATTCAAGATGTTACACGCGTCTCATGTGATTAATGGGCTGTCAACTGGATATAAAATGACCAGATTTTCATTTTTTAAAAAATTGTCCCACTCCCATAAGGAAGACCATTTCCATTACGTACATCCCGAACAAGCAATCCAAACGTTAACCACATTTCATCAACATTGACTTAAACGGGTGAACAGCCGTGAGCTACTTCTCTTTTGTCATAGGACGATAGAGCACGAAAGGAAGCCACTCTGCCCGTCGTGCTGGTGCTAGCTCTTTGAAAGAGTCCTCCAATAAATTGCAATATCTCCCACCTCCTTTTATCCCTCACTTCAAACAATGCTTCGAGTTAAAGGTTAGTTCAGCGCTAGGCACTTTCAGGATGCGAACTCGGGGATGACAGGAAATGTGTTTCTGTGTATTATTTTGTGTATTGTGGGGGTGCGTAGGCACCTTTGCCCGAGGGATGCCTGCACGAGTGTCTGCCATCAATTTGAGATTCGGTAAACAGAAAAGGGCTGAGGGGCGGGACCTGAACCATGTGGACATGAAAGAAGCATATCTCGGTATCAACCACTAGTGGTCTCCCGAGCAAACAAAACATTAAGAGTGAGACTAGCTGGATCTCAGCAATCTAGTCACTTAGACGGAGGCAATTTGAGATACGGATTCACTCAATAATCTAGCATTCAAAAGGTAACAATGCGCGTTGCATTGACACTTGAGAAGAAATTCTGAGCATGTTAATCCAACTTTGTGACATTTTAAATGTCCTCAGCCCTCCAACAAAGGACCACTTGCATACAAAGACAGCAGAGGTATAATTTTGACACGTCACTATATTGAAGCAGTCCAGGCTTAATCACACTGCAGATCTTGTTTTCCTTGACGTCAGCATTGAAGTGTGAATACTTCAGGAGAGAGTTTCAAGAGCCGCACTTGTCTATAAAATCTGCAAAAAAAGCACGAATTTGGCTGCTCCATTAAAGTTTAAAAGATTTTTTTGGGTTGCATTCATTAAAAAAAATCAAAACTCAAAAGTTCTCCAAGGTTTGCAATTTGACCCCTATCTTTCACACACATTAAGGGTCCCTGTTAAAAATAGTTTCTAAACAGCCTGCAATGATAGATTATCACCTAAAAGGTGTATTTGACCAAACGAACTTTCTAAAACGTGGGCATAAACATGCATTTATAAAGCACCTTTTACAATCTCAGGATGTTCCAGTCAATGTACTCTTTGCCCTGCAGTCACTTCTGTATTTTAGGAAAGTTGGCGGCCAGTTTACCCCAGCAAGCTCTAAGTGGCAATGTTTCAATTGTCAGATTTTTCTGAAATAGTGTTTTTTTTAGTGATAAATGTTGGCAAGGATACTGTGGAGAGCTCACTTATTCTTAAAAACAATATTATGGGACCCATTATATTTACTTGAGCAGGCTGTCTAGTAAGATGCTGGCAACTTTACCTTTTATCTTTACTCCCTCTGTACTGCAGTGGAACTTGAATCCATAACCTTCTGATTCAGGGAGGGAAGAGATACTCCATGCCACAATTCACACTGTGTGACATCAAAGATATGTGTCTTCAACAGATTATGAGTGAATAGACCCTGTCGAACACAGGCCATCCTTTAGCTGTCAGGAATTTCACTGGTGCTACTGATTCAATTTCCACATTCTGCATCAACCCAAAAAACACTAAAATGGAAGTTTTACACATTGCTGAGACTGTCTGTGACATGTTTTTACTAGCCATGCGGTCATTGTTTGGAACAGTAAAGTTTGTATAATGAATACAGTGTTAACTGCCATTTGCCAACTCAGTATTGCAATATCACAGACTACACTGTTTCTTGCCTAGTGGTAATATCGTATAATTCCTTTACAGAAACATGGAGTCATACAGCACAGACGGAGGTCATTCAGACCAGCGTGCATGTGCTGCTCTCTGAAAGATAGTCTGATACTACTGTTTCTCCAGACTGCTAGAATTTTTTTTACAAATTCTGTTTGAAAATAACTGCCAAATCAGTGATATCACTGTTTTAGTTAGTGCTTTCCTGATCATAGCAACTTGTACATAAAAAAAGCTGTTTCTCCAGAATTATTATGCCAGTTATTTTAAATATGACTTTTGGTTACTGACACACAAGTTAGTGGAAACAATTTCTCCTTCGCAACTGTATTAAAACACCTGAACTTGTAGGAAAAGTCAGTGCAGATCTAAGAAACCATCCATTCTTGTTGCAGTCAACTTAAACTACCTGTGCCTCAGTCTCATTAATTCCTTCCTGGTAACATTTCAGCACAAGAAATAAAAGTAGTCAAAGTAGCTACATGCTTCCCTTATTTGCTTATTTAAACCTGGCTATTGAGAAGAGGCAGAGGTGAAGGGAGACACTTTAAGGGCAAGGGAAGGAACTTAAAAGAGCAAGTGAATCTTTTGCTTTTTTTTTTCTTGATATTTCCACTTTTACCTTGCAAGGTTAATTCTTTTGCTTAGCAGAATGATCTCTCACACATGTATTATACAAGATTTAGGAGAGATCTATTTATGCTAGACAGTTGTTGTCTACAAAGTTGGCATTTTTTGCAAAACAGACTGAAAGCTCTGTTGAAATTACTTTTTAAAATCTAAGAAGGTTGTCCCCAAGGATTTGATGCAATAATGACAACTTCTCTTTTTCTCTATAACTGAAATTTTATTTTAGGGCCCATGTAACACATAAGAGAATGAATATATTATCCTGCGCCTATTTCATGTCTATGTTCTCTAATTTTAAAATTGCCATCCTATTAACTTTTACATGAGTTGTTATGCTTTGATAGCTCAGATTTGCACTTGTGCACCAACGAGTGACAAAGGGCACAAAAATAATTCATGCTTCTGTAGTAAAATGGAAATGTTAGTTAAAATAAATTGTTACTTTAGATGAGTCAAATGTTTAAAAGTAGTCATTTTTGAAAAAAAAATTAAAATCTCTGTAGAGTTCTGTTTTCATATCTTTAACTTGTAAAGGAAGGAAATCCCCTCGGAGAGCATACCCACCTCTTATCAATGTTGTCTGCCTCATAACAGATGGCACAAACCAGATCATAGACTCCCTGCGATAAGAGGCTGATCACACCAATAACAGTGATAAACAGATGTGCACCAACCAGATCCACTGTCTACACCACTCAAGCTGAATGGATAGATGCAGGCACCTTGAAAATGTACAATTGGTAGGGCTTTCTTGACATGACCAGAAAATGAACAATTTGATGGAGAATGTGGTGGGAGGACAATGGAAGAAAAGAGATTGAAATTAGACATTCCTATGCTTAGTTGCTGTGGGAAACATGTTAAAAACAATGTAAAGAGACAATTTAAAAAAAAACAACAGACAAACCATGTAAGTTTAAAAAAAAAGTTTGAAAAGTTAGGAACAAGTTGTCTCCTGACAATGTGCATTTTGCTTTTTGGAATCCTGTAACTTAATATAAATATAAACTTTCTGTGACTTATATATTATTCAGTAGTTGGTTTGTTGAATGTGACAATTAAACACAATCTTTAAAAAAAAATGAATGCACTGAAACATTATGAAATGTGCATTCAACCTCTTACTAATCAAATAAGTTCTATTGAATCATATACTCTGCAGTGGAGTTTTCATCAATTCCAATAAAGCAAAGATTAAACATAAAACATTGAGAGTTATATTAAGCCATCATACCTACATACTTATGTGGAAGGAAAAGAGGAATATTGCACATGGAGTAAGATGGAAATGTTATACGTTTAATGGATAAAAGGAGATGCTAAGTAAGGAGTTTTTGTATTTGAAAGTTTGGTGTCAGGTCAGTTGAGAATTAATAGGAAAATACAGAGTCTTTGTCTTGATATAACTTCCGTCATGTCTTATACCTCCCATTTCTGGTCCCTTTCAATACTGAGTTTCTCAGATGTTTGAGAGTGAAAGGGTCATAGCATGAAGAGAAGGGAGCAAAGAAAATAGGAAAATTATGAAGCACTTTTCAATTAGTGTGATTTAATTGTGGTATAGATAAGCAGTGGGATGTTAGAACAAACTATGTTCATCAAGTTGCTCTTTTACTGACATGAGTGAAATGCCAACGGAATTGTAAGGGTAGCTGCACTCACTGTCAAGGCAATATGTAACTGAATATATTGCCAAGGAACCTTAGCAATCGAGCATTAACAGAAGTCAAAGGGAAATCCCTCAGAAGGCTGAAGTCGTACCTGTCATAACGTAAGCTGGTATGTTTGTTGGAGATCAATTATCACGTGCTGCAAGAATTTCTCAGTGAAGTGTCCCTCACCTAACCACCTTCATTGCATCATTGATAGCCTCTTCTCAACTTAATCTCAAAACTGGACTTGTGCTCAACTTCAGTCACAGCTACTCTATCAAAATGAAATTACTCACACCAGCCTATACTGGAATCTGGATAATATCTTTGTTTGGGCTGAAAAGTCGAAGGAAACTTCAGTAAAAAATAAATGCCAGGTAACAATTATCTCTAATAAAAGGAAACACAGCTATCTCTCCCAATCTTTAACAGCACCTCCTTCAAGTGCTTTCAACATAGTCATCTTGGATGCCATCATTGACCAGAAAGCTAAATGCACAAGGCATGATCAACACTGTGGCTATTAGAGCAATGCTGAGAGATAGGGAACCTACAACTCAATCACTAACTCATTGCAGCTCCTCAGTTATCTATATAAGATGCAAATTGGGCATAGATTAGAATACTCATTATTTAGTTGGTTGTTGCTGCTCAAGAAAGAATAAGAAACTCAAAACCATCCAGGATGGAGAAGTTTATGGGATACCCATTATCCAGTGCCAGTACACTGTGGCTGTAGTTTTGTATAGTTTACAAGCTGCGATGTCACAACTTACTAACATTATTGCAACAAACCTACCCTGCAATCTCTGCCACCAATAATATCTTGGGAATATTTCACATGCAAGTTCCTCTCCAAATCACTCACTGATGTGACATGTGAATAAGTTTTTCTTTTGTCATTGAGTCAATATGCTGGAATTCCCTAACCAACACCCTTGTGAGAAAACGTTCACCATCAGACCTGGAGCAGTTTGAGAGGACTACTGCCACCTCCTCAGAACAACTAGGGATGGGCAATAAATGTGGTTTGGTTAATGTTGCCAACATCCAGAGAATAAATGAAATAACATTTGGCAGCTTTAAAAAGAAAAGCAAAGAGACGGATTCCTGTTAATAAATTGGTTACAGGGCTGTAGATCTAGTGAGGAACCCCTGGGAGATTTGAAGAATAAACTAATTGCAAGAAAGGTCTTCCGCTCAGACACATGAGAATGTTCCTACTAATGCCATTTGAGTAGCAGATAACACAGAAAAACTGAAACAGCAATAGAATATTGTGGCATTGTGAATGCCAGAAGTTAAAGAGTAAAACATGGCTTGAAATGATTAATTTTGGATTCATAGCCTAAAACAATAATATAAACTAGAACATGTAGAGTTTGGAAATTTGAAATAGGTACAAAAAGTGCTGTAGATGCTTGCAGATCAAACAGCATCTGTGAATTAACTTTTCAGGTCGAGGTGACCTTTCAAAAAAGACCCTCAGTTTATCAGATTTAAAAAACGTTTCTTTTTTCTCAGTGTATATGTTTGATATTCCGACCTGTGAAGTGAAGTCAACTAAGCGTGAATCAATATTCAGATTGGAACCGTCCAGTCATGTATCCATATAACTGTGCTGAATTGTGACCTTTGTTTTCAGTGTAGTGAGTGCACAGGGGGAGAAAAAACCCATAGGATGGACTGTTCTCACATAGCTATTAAAATATGAGAGGAACACACTGTGTGACTCTTGAAACCCGGAAACCGAGTGAGTTCGTTTACGAAGGAAATTAACCCGTCGAAACAGAGGAAAGAAAAACGCGAACTTTAGCAACAGCAAAACCAAAATAGGTAGCAGCTGGATGCTTGTCCAGAAGAGGTCGGTCGCTGCAGGAGTAACGGCGATGGGTTCCTTTTTATTTACGCTGTGAAGAGTTGGGAAGTTTAGTTCACTCCGAAGTCCCGGAGCAGGGTCGCTTTCCTGGAATGCAGCGTGTCGGAGGGGAAAGTGGAGCGGGTACTGCTGTGCCGTCGCTTCCGAGAAACTCTGCACCCATGACCTCCGTATGCCAGGACGAGGAAGAGTTTGACTTCAGCTTCCTCTTCGAGTTTAACCAGCGTGATGCAGCCTCCAGCAGCCCCGGAGGTTTGTACAGTACTGATGACTTTGTGATTTTCCAAAGGCGGTGTTGGGAGACCTATACTGGCTTGTGCCTGACATGTGTCGTTGGTCTTTCCAATGATCACAGTTCTCTATACTCTGTTTTGTTTACCCCTTTCTATGGGAACAGATGGGAAGCAATTGATTACAGTTGGTGGTATTTGCCCTCTGGGCGCACCTGTTGAGCGGCAGCTTGTAATAAATGGCAGAAATGTATGTAAGAGGCGGCAAATGCTATCGTTACATTTTAGTTCATGAGTCGAACATACCCACGTGTCTGTACATTTATTCTTGTGACACTGCTCTAATCTATATACGCCCTTTGTTTCCTGTTTTTCTTCTGTTCAGCTGAAAATGTGGTCACATCTATGTCTCGGCATCATTTGCCGATTTGTTGCATCTCCTTAATTTACTCCCACTTGCTTTGCATCCAGCGATTGTCCAGAAACTGCCTTCAAGAATCATTTGGGGAAAACAAACGGGGGTGATTTACTCCTTTATTAATAGGTAAACCATTCCTTGTGGAAGCTAGCCCGAATTGATCGGGACAGTAAGGATGTATATTGCATTCAAGACAGCTCCTTCTAATATTAAGGTGGACACTTCAGTGATGATTTTGGGGATAACTGGTGCTGTTTCATTTGTTGGCCAGTGGAAGTGTTTTAACAACTGCTTTGTCAGAGACTAGAAACACCCCAGATAACGCTTCACTTGAACCTGCTTCCACTGTATTCTCGGACCTTACATTCCGGAATCTGACCACTTGCTGCATGAAAATATTTTTTAACATCACTTCTTTCCTTCTTGTATCAATTACATTAAATCTGTACCCTCTCATTCTTGACTCTTTAGGAGTGAGAACGGTTTCTTGCATCCACTTTGTCCAGACCTTCATGATTCTGCATATGCTTATCAAATCGCCTCTCTGCCTTTCCTTCTCCAAGGAAAACAATTCTAACTTTTTAAACCTCCTCTTCATAGCAGATGTTCTTCACCCTTGGAACATTCCTGTGAATCTTTTCTGCACTCTGCCTATTACCTTCACATCCTTCCCAAATTATATACAATATTCCAGCTGTGACAACTAGTGTCTTATTTGATGTTATCTCCTTGCTTTTGCATTCTATGCCCCTTTGAAAAAAAACCTAGGATATCATATCCTTTTTAATCATTCTTTCCACCTGACCTGTCACCTACAATGTCTTATGTTTATACAACACTGTGAAATTCTGTTTCCAAGTTCTTCCTTCTCCTTTACAATCTTCCTGCAAATGAACCTCTTTGACTAGATCTTCACTGGCTTCCATTAATGCTTTTCCCATCTGTTGTCTTTTTGCTGCTTAGAAGCACTTTGGGATGTTTGTTAAGTTTGAGTGTTACATAAATCACATTGCATCACAAGCTGTAAGTGCACAACCGAAGGTTGATAACTGCCACTTAAATCCTAGACTGCAGCTTTGAATTGAGTCCAGAATGCCTGTATTTTTGTAAATCTTAATGAAGCAGCCATCAGTATTCGAAATGTGGAGTGTTCTGGGAAGGTAGGAGTCAGTTTTACCATTGGGGTGCTTTTAGTATGATGTCAGTAGGAGATAGCAGCAGAGAATGGGATGTCAATCTGACATATAAGCCACAGAATATGTAAAAAGAAAGTACTGATAACTTCTGACTCTGAGTTTCGAGAGATATGGGAGTTCAATTATTGTGAGCATATACACCATATTGGCAAGAAAAGGTCATTCACTTCATAAGTGTTCATTCCTCTCAAGCTGTAAGTTTCCCATTAGAAAACAAAAAAAGATTTAAAGTGTAAAAAATAGCTATTTAGCCTATCATGTTCACCCTAGCTGTAGAAGTGCAATCCAGTTTAATGTGCCCCTCCAGCTTTCATCTCTAGCCTTGTAGGTTGTGGAACCTCAAATGCATTGTCTCTCCGTACTTTTAAATATGAGAGTTTTTGCCTTTCAAGCAGTGAGTTTCAGATCCCACCACCTTTTGGGTGAAGATATTTTTCCTCATGTCCTATCTAATCTTTCGACAATTATAGTTTTCTCTTAAATGTTAAAAACTCATAGTTTTTTCCAGTTTTAATGCCTGGTCTTTAATTCCAAATTTGAAACATTTGTCAGTGAAGAAAATCTTTCCAATATCTGTGTTAGTTTTTCCTTTCACATGTTAGATTGTTTGCTTAAATCTTAGGTTACTGCTGATTGATACACAGTGCAGAACTGAGGGAGCCCTGGAATCACAGATGTGACATTGTTAAATTGAGACTTTAAACCAAATCCTTACTTGCCCTCTCAAATGAATGCAAAAGGTCCTGTGGCAATACTCAACAAAGGGCAGGGTAATTAAAACTGGCTATTGTTTATCCTTTCACTAATGCCTTTGGTCAGATTAACCGATCGCTTATTTTATTACAGTTTGAGGGATTTGGAATGCACCCAAACTGGTTACTTCATGTCCTTACATTATGACAATGCCTAGACTTCTAGAGTAAAGCATTGGCTGTGAAAGGCTCTGGGCAAGAGTTTTAACAGCCGGTGAAAGATATGGGCCATGATGAGGAAACAGGTGAGACAACCCCATGTTGAGAGCCATTTTCCAGTCAAATCTGGGATTCTTATTAGTGAGCAGTGAGAAAAGCAGCAAGAATCCTGTTTGCATGGATTGTCACTTGTTGATCACTTATTAAGATTTTCACATTATACCATTCATCAGATAGAAATTAGATGATGAGAATTCCCGATGTGAAAGTCAGAGCAGTTACCTGGTGCCTCTAGAACATAGAACATAGAACATTACAGCGCAGTACAGGCCCTTCGGCCCTCGATGTTGCGCCGACCTGTGAAACCAATCTGAAGCCCATCTAACCTAAACTATTCCATTATATGTTTATCCAATGACCATTTAAATGCCCTTAAAGTTGGTGAGTCTACTACTGTTGCAGGCAGGGCATTCCACGCCCTTACTACTCTCTGAGTAAAGAACCTACCTCTGACATCTGTCCTATATCTATCACCCCTCAATTTAAAGCTATGTCCCCTCGTGCTAGCCATCACCATCCGAGGAAAAATCTTGTATGTGTCTACTAAGTCACCTCTTAACCTTCTTGTCTCTAACGAAAACAGCCTCAAGTCCCTCAGCCTTTCCTCTAAGACCCTCCCTCCATACTAGGCAACATCCTGGTAAATCTCCTCTGCACCCTTTCCAATGCTTCCACATCCTTCCTATAATGCGGCGACCAGAACTGTACGCAATACTCCAAGTGCGGCTGCACCAGAGTTTTTTACAGCTGCAACATGACCTCATGGCTCCGAAACTCAATCCCTCTACCAATAAAACCTAACATACCGTACGCCTTCTTAACAACGCTATCAACCTGGGTGGCAACTTTCAGTGATCTATGCACATGGACACCGAGATCTCTCTGCTCATCCACACTACCAAGAATCTTACCATTAGCCCAGTACTCTGTATTCCTGTTACTCCTTCCAAAGTGAATCACCTCACACTTTTCCGCATTAAACTCCATTTGCCACCTCTCAGCCCAGTTCTGCAGCTTATCCAAGTCCCTCTGTAACCTGCAACATCCTTCCGCACTATCCACCACTCCACCGACTTTAGTGTCATCCGCAAATTTACTAACCCATCCTTCTATGCCCTCATCCAGGTCATTTATAAAAATGACAAACAGCAGTGGCCCCAAAACAGATCCTTGCGGTACACCATTAGTAACTGAACTCCAGGATGAACATTTCCCATCAACCACCACCCTCTGTCTTCTTACAGCTAGCCAATTTCTGATCCAAACCGCTAAATCACTCTCAATCCCATGCCTCCGTATTTTCTGCAATAGCCTACCGTGGGGAACCTTATCAAATGCTTTACTGAAATCCAAATACACCACATCAACCGCTTTACCCTCATCCACCTGTTTGGTCACCTTCTCAAAGAACTCAATAAGGTTTGTGAGGCACGACCTACCCTTCACAAAACCGTATTGACTATCCCTAATCAAATTATTCCTTTCTAGATGATTATAAATCCTATCTCTTATAATCCTTTCCAACACTTTACCCACAACCGAAGTAAGGCTCACTGGTCTATAATTACCAGGGTTGTCTCTACTCCCCTTCTTGAACAAGGGGACAACATTTGCTATCCTCCAGTCTTCTGGCACTATTCCTGTAGATAATGACGACATAAAGATCAAAGCCAAAGGCTCTGCAATCTCCTCCCTAGCTTCCCAGAGAATCCTTGGATAAATCCCATCCAGCCCAGGGGACTTATCTATTTTCACACTTTCCAGAATTGCTAACACCTCCTCCTTATGAATCTCAATCCTGTCTAGTCTAATAGCCTGTATCTCAGTATTCTCCTCGACAACATTGTCTTTTTCCTGTGTGAATGCTGACGAAAAATATTCATTTAGTGCCTCTTCTATCTCTTCGGACTCCACGCACAACTTCCCACTACTGTCCTTGACTGGCCCTAATCTTACTCTAGTCATTCTTTTATTCCTGACATACTTATAGAAAGCTTTAGGGTTTTCCTTGATCCTACCTGCTAAAGACTTCTCATGTCCCCTCCTGGCTCTTCTCAGCTCTCTCTTTAGGTCCTTCCTGGCTAACTTGTAACTCTCAAGCGCCCTAACTGAGCCTTCACGCCTCATCTTTACATAAGCCTCCTTCTTGCTCTTGACAAGAGATTCAACTTCTTTAGTAAACCACGGTTCCCTCGCTCGACCACTTCCTCCCTGCCTGACAGGTACATACTTATCAAGGACACGCAGTAGCTGTTCCTTGAACAAGCTCCACATTTCAATTGTGCCCAGCCCCTGCAGTTTCCTTCTCCATCCTATGCATCCTAAATCTTGCATAATCGCCTCATAATTGCCTTTCCCCCAGCTATAACTCTTGCCCTGCGGTATATACCTATCCCTTTCCATCGCTAAAGTAAACGTAACTGAATTGTGGTCACTA